TCTCCTGCCTCCCAAGGTCCCGGATCCTCTCCGGCTCCGACTCGACTGCTTATCGACACCCTGAGCCCTGCTCTTATATGCCCTGACTCTGTTCCTCCCCGTGGGTGGAACTTGCCCGAGCTCCTCCCATGTTCCTCCCTGTGGGTGGAGCCAGCATCTGTTACTGAGGCGTTCCCAGTACCCCGGAAGGGGCAGGTTCGCACCTCCAGGTGTCTCACTACCCCACAGGAGGCCACGGTCCAGAGCTGGGCCCTAACAGTAACCAAGAAAAGGCCTTTGGATTCGGCAACTAAGAGATCATTGTCAACTTTAGAGGGAGCAGTGTGGTGGAATGACAAGATCAGAAACCAGGTTATAAGGCAAGAGGAAGAGAGTAAGAGGAGAGAATGTGAAGGCAGCTATTGTAGGTGGCCTTTCTGAATAGTTTCACTACAAAGGGCAGAAGAGACGAAGGGTGATGGCCAGCAGAGACAGAAGGGTCAAATGAGGGTTTTTTCAGGATAGGGAGACTTGGGTATGTTTGTAGGCAGTACGAAATGAACAATATAGAGATTGGAAATACGAGAGAGTGGGGATGACAAAAAGGGCAATCTGTTGGAGGAGACAAGATGGATTGGGATCACCTGCACAAGCAGAGGAGTTAGCCGTGGTAAGGAGTAAGGCCACTTCATCATGTGGGATGGGGGTGAAGGAGGAGATAGTGGTAGAAGGTCCCTGGCTGGTAAGAGCTGAGCAAGAATGGGGAAGAGGGAGTTCAAGGTGAACGGCCTCAAATTTTTTTCTGTAGAATATGAAGCAAGGTTCGCAGCTGAGAGATTAGGGAAAGGAGTCATGGGAGGTTTGAGTTGGCACGTGTGAAAAACGAGTGTTTCTTGTATTTAATAATTATTGTATTAGGACTAAGGTTTGCCCCCTTTTCTACTTCCTCATCCAGAAACCAACCAGTGTGGGAAATCTGAAGCATATTTCCCCAGGCCAAGATCTAATCCTAAGCTTGGGCTAATGGGAGCATCCCTGCTCATTGTGGGTGCTCAGACAGGCCTGGGGAAGCCTTAATTCTCCCTTTGTCAGCCAGGTGATATGGAAATCTGTAAATCTCTTTGATTAAGATGTGAGTGATCCAAGTCACACACCCCAAGACTCTCTCTGTGATGTAGGCCAGCCTCTCATTACCTGTTGAGCAATCAGAGTTGACTGCCACCCCCCAGGAACACCTGCTCTTCCAAGAGCATATAAACTGTGAGCCCACTACCATGAGGGGTCTTGGTCTAAGAGAGATGGCCAAATGGCCATCCTTTTATTAATAAAGATGTTGGTCTTATTAATAAAATGACCAAATTACCCAGAAACGGTGTCCCCCAGAACTTTTTTTAATTGTCACAGATGCAGAAGTTTGGAAAAGCCTCTGGGGAGAGTGGGATGGTGAAAAGATAAGGGAGGTATAGTAAGACTGCCTAGCAGCAGTGAAAGCCCAGTCGAGGTTATATATCAAAAATGTGTAGGGGAATTGGAACACTAATGCATTGTTGGTGGAGTTGTGAAATGATCCAACCATTTTGGAGAGTAATTTGGAACTATGCCCAAAGGGCTATAAAAATGTGCATACCCTTTGACCCAGCAATACAACTTCTAGGTCTGTATAAAATATTCATAGCAGCTCTTTTTGTGGTGGCAAAGAACTGGAAATTGAGGGGATGCCCATCAATTGGGGAATGACTGAACAAGTTGTGGCATATGAATGTGATGGAATACTATCGTGCTATAAGAAACGATGAACAGGCTGACCAGAAAAACCTGGAACGACTTGTATGGTCTGATGCTGAGGGAAGTGAGCAGAACTAGGAGAATGTTGTGCACAATAACAGCCACGTTGTGCGATGACTAATACTGATAAACTTAACCCTTCCTGGCAATACAAGGATCTCAGACGTCTCCAAAGGCCTCGAGATGGGAAATGCCATCCACACCCAAAGAAAGAACTGTGGAAGCCGAATTGCTAACTTTTTTTTCTTCTGTTGAGTTTTGTTTCCTCCTTCTGGTGGTTCCTCCTGCTGGTTCTAACTTGTACTTACAACATCAGCTACCTCAGCAGATAACAGCAGATGACTGCCAAGCCCATCTATGTGCAGCCCTCGTCTCTGCCCTGACTTCTGGTCCTGAACCAGCCACTGCCCACCGACCGCTGCAGGAACACTATCTCCCGCACGGGCACCGAAGCTGGGATTGCACTGGGTGAGGGTGGCACCCTCCTGGCACTGGGAAGCTGGGTGACGAGTCCAGGGCCAGCATGTGGGAGGCGGGGCCCCAATGCCAGTCCTGCCAGCCTCGAGGCCTGCTCCCGTGCACCACACATGCTGCTCACACATACCTCCCCCTGCGCAGGTCTTCCGGGCTGGAAAGGAAGCTCCCTGACAGCAGCGGCCTGGGGGCCTGGGGGCGCCTTCTCGGTGGGGGTAGCGGGAGGGGGAGGGGTCTCATTGTGGGCAGGCTGGGTTGCCCTCCCCTCGCCTAACCACCCCTCCCCTCCCCTCGGCTCCCCTCCCCACCCCTCCCCTCCCGTCCCCTCCCCTCCCCAACCCTCAGCTCCCCTCCCATCCCCAACCCTCAGCTCCCTTCGCCTCCCCTCCCCTCGCCTCTCCTCCAGTCACCTCCCCTCCCCTCCCCCATCTCTCCTCCCCTCCCGAACCCTCTTCTCCCCTCCCTCCTCTCTCCTCCCCTCCCTCGTCTCTCCTCCCCTCCCTTCCCCTCCCCTCCAGTCACCTCACCTCCCCCCCTCCCTTCCCCTTGGCTCCCCTCCCCTCCCCCTCCCTCATCTGTCCACCCCTCCCCTCCCCAACCCTCAGCTCCCCTAGCCTCCCCTCCCCTCCCCCCTCCCTCGGCTCCCCTCCCCTACCCCCTCCCCCGACTCTCCTCCCCTCCCCTCCCACCACCCTTGTCTCTCCTCCCCTCCCCTCCCTTCGCTTCCCCTCCAGTCACCTCCCCTCCCCTCCCTTCCCCTTCTCTCAGCTCCCCTCCCCTCCCCTCGCCTCTCCTCCCCTCAGGTCACCTCCCCTCTCCTCCCCTCCCCTCCCCTCCCCGGCGCCCAGGCCTCCTCCCTACCCGCCTCGCTTCCTCTCCCACCCCGCGCATGCGCTCTTCAGAAGTCCGCGCTCCCAGGCCTGCCCAGGTGCTTCCAGTGTGTGTCAATGCAAGTGTACTGCGGTTGCCTTGGAAACGAGACAAAGGGGCGGGGAGGGGGGAGGAAACAGGCGCTTCCATATTCGTCACTTCCGCTCCCCGCCTTTCCCCCGCCCGCCGCGGCGCTGCCGTCAATTTGGGCAGCCCTCTGCCGCCCTGGGAGCGTTTGCGGTCGCCCCGGCTCCGCCGTCCTCAGCCTCCACCGTCGCTGGGCCGAGCCTCGCCCTGCAGGGGGAGCCCCGGAGGGCGGACGGAGGGGGAGGAGCCTCCGTCGCCCGCGCTTGGAGCCTGCCCACGTTCTCGGGCTGGCCTTTGAGGATTGCGCGTGCGCAGTACTCGCGCGGAGGCCCTTGAGCACGCCCATTGGCTGACCTTGGAGGCGCGGCTAGAAAACCGACCAATCAAGAGGTCCTTCCCGGATTCCCCAGCCTCTCCAAGGCTCCTCTCTTTTTCCCATCTCCTGTTCCCCCCTGCCCCGCCCCCCAGCAACGCTGGGGTTTGAATCCCGCCTCTGATGCTTCCTGCTGCATGACCCCTGTGCCTCAGTTAACTCATCTGTAAAATGAAAGTAATGCCAGCAAATGAGATAGCGTGTGTAATGGTCATCTACTGCCGTCACCACCATCATCACTGTTCTCTCCCTTCGCTTCCAATCGGCTGCGGGAATCTTTCTCCCAGGCTTTCCCCTCTACTCTCCAGAAGGACCTTTGGAGTTGCCAGGAGGCAAGCTTAGAGCATTTATTAAGCTCTTACTGTATGCCAGACACTGTGCTAAGCGCTGAGGATACAAGAAGAAACAAGAAACTGCCCCTGCCCTCAAGGATCTTACATTCTAATTGAGGAAGATAAAACGTTTAAGGGTAGATTTGGAGAGGAAGGTTAGTAGGGGCCAGCATTGGGGGAGGAGTGGAAGGTCCCGGGATCCAGAAGGTAGACAAGTCTGGAGAGTGAGTTGGGCTGGAAGTGAATTGAGCACGTTCGGGGGCTCCTCCTGACCTCCTCCTGAGCAAGGGATCAGCTATGCAGCCAATCAGTCAACTGGCATTTACGAGCACCTACCGTGTGCCAGGCCTTGTGCTGCGTGCTGGTGATACATGAAAGGCAAAAGACAGTCCCTGCCCTCGAGGAGCTCCCAGTCTGTCCGAGGAGAGAGGCCACCTGCAAACAACGGCGGACAAACAAGGCTGCAACACTGAGAGCTGGAAGGCAGTCCGTCTCGTCGGTCCTTTTTCCTTCCTACTATATATAAGACTCTGCCCTTAGACGAGAGGATGGCCCCTGTGCTCCTGACAGCCAGGACCCGCCAGGTGAGTGGCAAGTCTAATTTCTTTGGGAGGCGTTTCTGTCCTCAGAACGGGCACCAAGAAATTGGCACCGTCTTTGATTAGAGGCCGCCAAGGGGTGCAGTGGTGCCCAGGGTGCCGGGCCTGGAGTCAGGAAGGGCCAATTCCTTGCGAGGCCCCTAGGGGGTGCAGCGGTGTCCAGGGTGCCGGGCCTGGAGGCAGGAAGGGTCAATTCCTTGCAAGGCCCCTAGGGGGCGCAGCGGTGCCCGGAGTGCCAGGCCTGGAGTCAGGAAGGGCCAATTCCTTGCGAGGCCCCTAGGGGGTGCAGCGGTGTCCAGGGTGCCGGGCCTGGAGGCAGGAAGGGTCAATTCCTTGTGAGGCCCCTAGGGGGCGCAGCAGTGCCCAGGGTGCTGGGCCTGGAGTCAGGAAGACCTGAGTTGGTTAAAATCCATCTTGGGATACTTACTAGCTGTGTGACCTTGGGCAAGTCACTTCACCTGCGCCTGTCTCCGTTTCCTCATCTGTGAAATGTGAATAACCAGTCTGTCAGTAAACACGTCTTATTCCGGTATCATAAGCAGCAGAAGAGTGCGGCTGGGTGGGCCTGCGGACCCTCCATAAGTGGAGCTTCTGGGAGGTCTCCACCCTGCAGGCAGGGGGAGCGGCCCCAGGCATGGAGAAGACCCAGGAGTGCAGCAAGCCAGGATGGAAATAAGAAAGCCCCGGTCCGGGGGCTAGGGCTCATTGAGTCAGCAGTCTGCTCAGGATCCGGACTGGGGGTCCAGCCGGGCAATGGAATTTGGAAGCCCCCCCCGGGGCCTTCCTCCGGCTCTCCGGGCATTGTGGGTACCAGTGGAGCACCCTGGCTCTCCACCCGTCCATCACCACCATTACCAGGCCACTTCCTCTCCCTAACCTCGCGTCTTTTTAGTGATTTTTACACCCTTTTAGATTGTAGTCAGTTCTTTGTCGGTAACAGACTGTGGCAGGGTCTCTTAACTTTTCTTGTGTCAGTGTGGTGAAGCCTATGGACCCCTTCTCAGAACCCTGTTTTTGAATGGATAAAATAAAATAGATTGGATTGCAAAGGAAACCAGTTATGCTGAAATGCAGGATCCCAGCTTAAGAGCCCCTGTGCTATGGTCTGTTTACCCCCATCATGCATTGTCACTCTAACTTTCATTCTTTAGACACGGTGGCATTCCATGCCCTATTCCCAGAAGGATCATGACATTGAAAAGATAGGACTTTGAGGCAGAAGCATGGAGTCGTTAGAACCATGGCCCAGTTTCCCATGTGCACTCCAGCCAGCCCCCACTGTGCTGATCCAAATGTTGCTGGGCCCACTCTGTGGGCTGTCCCTCCGGCAGACCTTCAGCCACGTGCTTCTCACGTGGAGTTAGGCCACACTCTTAAATTATTGTCTCGCGTAGGATGGCCTGCGACATATTGGCAAGCTTCATGTGGTTTAGAAACTGTCATTCACAAGCAGGACCTTTGGAGGACATCCTCATCGTTAAGCAGCCAGTCTCTCTTCCATTTAGACTCTCCTCTGGACAGCGTCCGTGACTGTGTACATGCCTCTGTCGAGCATCATCTGTCTCCTTGTGGAACGCCTCCCTTAGCATTAATAACTAGAGGACGTGAGACAAAGTTATCTCTGTTGCCGCTTTCCAAAAATCTTCTAGTCCTGGCATTGGCCAACAGAACAATGGAAATAATATCTGGTTTTTAATGGCATGCAGCAGCTATGTTATCTGTAATCGGAAATTAACGTTCCGAGGAGGATGGTTGCACTTAGGGCTGGGTATCTAAACAACTGGGGGAGGGGTGTTAAGGGTTAGCTGCCCTTAGCCCTTGAACTGGGCCTCTGCCATTCTCCACGTAGGCTTGGGATTTAGAGTAATACAAAGGCATAAGGCCATGACTGAGGCTCTTACTAGTCATTATGGGCTGCACTGGGGGTCTCCATACCTCTTCCGAACACTTTGACACAAGATTTTATAATCCCTTGATCCTTCCCACAACGACCAAGTCCTTCCCAATCCCTCACTCCAAATCAGTCTGCAACAATTGCTTTTCATCTTTGTCACCCTTCCTGTGGAGGAGGGCCATCCCGGCATTTCTCCAGTGAGTGTGAGGGAGGGGCGTGGAAAGAGTTGGAGTGAATCTTTATACTTTGGGGGCCACCAAGACCCTTGCACTAGGTTCTAGGATTGCAGGAAATCTGCGTCCCCAGGGCAGCAAGGTGGCGCAGTGGATAGAGCACCAGCCCTGAAGTCAGGAGGACCTGAGTTCAAATCCAGCTTCAGACCAAACACTTGACACTTACTAGCTGTGTGACCCTGGGCAAGTCACTTAACCCCAATTGCCTTTAAAAAAAAAAAAAAGAAAGAAAGAAAAGAAAAGAAATCTGTGTCCCCGTTCTCTTGGTTGATGTTAGACTTCTAAAGAACAGATATATCGTATCGTCCTAAGCATTCCCTCCTCTTTTTTTTTTTTGCTGTCTAAGCATAAATATTAGCTATTCAGATGATTTCTCACAAACTTTGACAGTACAGTGCACCGTAAACAAGTTACGCGATAGCCCGTTACTTGACCCTGGACATCTCATAGGTGATGCGGTAGCCATAAACTTGCCCGTTTCTGTCAAAGGCCCCAGTGTGCTTCTAAATTGAAGGTCGGCCGGTTTCTCAGCCTCAGAGGCCTTCCTGACTCTTACTCCCCGTCCCAAACCAGAAGTTCTCATCTCTACTTATTTGCTTCTTCTCAGTAGTATAGCTCCACGACATTTCTCACATCTGATCTCTCTGTCCTTACGTGCGGTTACATAGCCCAGACCATTCTCATATTTTGCATGGATTTCTTCAAGAGCATGTCCCCACCTGAAGTCTTTCCCCTCCCCAGCACATCTTCCAGAGAGATGGAGCTTCCTGAAGCGTAGCTCTGACCACATCACTCCCCTGCTCAGGAGGTTTCAGGAGCCCCCTTTTGTACCTCAGTCAAAATGCAGACTTCTCTGTTTTCTATTTAAAAGCCTGCACGATCTGGCTCTAGCCTGTCTTTATGGATTGGCTGATTTCACATGCTCCCACATACTCTGTGTTCCAGCAAAGCCAGACTGTTTGCCATTTGTTGTATATAACATTCAGTCTCCTGTCTCTGTAACTTTCAACAGGCCTGGAGTGTGCTTCCTTACCTGCACCTCTTGGAATCTCTGGAAGTGCACAGGCAGCTGGGCGTTGCAGTGAGTAAAGTGGCCAATTCTGAAGTCAGGCCTCCCGCACTTAGAGCTGTGTGATCCTAAAGAAGTCACTTAACCTCTGTCTACCTCAGTATCCTCATCGATAAAACAGGGATAATAATAGCACTTACCTCCAGGGTTCTTGTGAGGATCAGATGAGTTAGTATTTGTAAAAAAGCCCTTACCACGGTGCCTGGCACGTAGCATGTGCTTAATATATGTGTGTCCCAGGGGCAGTTAGGTGGTGCAGTGGATAGAACACTGGCCCTGAAGTCAAGAGGACCTGAGTTCAAATCCAGCCTCAGACACATAACACTAGCTGTGTGACCCTGGACAAGTCACTTAACCCTAGTTGCCTCACCAAGAAAAAAAAATAAATGTGTGTCCCCTCCCTCCTTTCCTTGCAGGGTTCAGAGCTCAAGTACCATTTCCCTGAGCCCTTAGTTGTTTGCCTGTCACATCAGTTTTATAATTACCTAGTGCTATATATTTTGTGACCCCCCCAGTAGGATGTAAGCTCTTCATGAACAAGCAACATTTCATCTTTGTCTTTGTATCCCTAGCACCCAGCAAAGAGCCTTGAATTGCACTAGTTTGACTCCTAATGAAAGCTCTCCAGACAGGTGCCCCAAGCCCCATGCCAGCAGCAATAGCCAGCAGGCACACCTTGGTAGCCTAACCTTTTCTCTCCAAGCACAGACATTAGCTCCAGGCCTCTAACAAGCTCCCTTCAATTTCACAGCAAGGCCCCCCAAAGGAAATGCTTGTTGCCCCATGGCAGGTTCACCGCACAGTTGATGAGATGATGTGAGATGGTGATCCACACAGCAGGAGGCAGCACAGTGTTGTGGAAGGCACCCAGGCCTGTGAATCAGAAGTCCTGAGTTCGAGGGCTAGCTCTGATCATTTCTAGCCATGTGACCTTGGCCATTTTCCTTAAAGTTCATTATTTTCAGTTTTCTCATCTGTGAAATGGGGATAATGAATACTTTTGTGAGATAAGAACTTTGTACATACACCAAGAAAAAAAGTCATTATATATATGAGCTGTTATTGTTGTATTACATGTTTTGAAATCTAGTATGAATGATGGGGCATAAGGAGTACTCAGGAAATACTTGACCTAACTGGAAAACTGAGAAGCACTCCCTTCAGTTCCTGGCAGCCTCCCGTTACCTGCTTGGTCTATGAAGGGTGGTCCGTGGGTCAGCACAAATGTATTTGATGTTTCAGGAGTTGGTGACGTTCCAGGACGTGGCCGTGGATTTCTCCTGGGAGGAGTGGGGGCAGCTTGGCCCCGCCCAGAAGGAGCTGTACCGGGAGGTGATGCTGGAGAACTACGGGCACCTGGTCTGCCTGGGTAAGGAGGCTCCCTTCGGTGCCTCAACACCTGCCCCTTGGAGGATCTGTGCAACCAGTCTTAACAAACCCCATGGGATATCTTCAGGGTTAATCAGTTATTGCCAGACATGAAGGACCTGAGAATCTCATTCCTTTTGTGGCCATGGAAAAAGGTATTTCTGCTCATTATTACTTGGCGAATGGTCTCTGATTGATGCAGCTAGAAACTGGAACCTCATGCTGGGGTGATCAGGCACACGATTCTCCCCAAGGTCAAGTGCATCTTCATGGAGATTCATTGGATTGGCCTGGATTCCCTCCTCTTGCCAGAAAGTGGCTCAAATGTATTTATTTACTATCTGAGCTGAAATCCGCTTTGCAACCTTATTTGTCCAGTAATCCAGAGTATACTTGCCTGATGCCTGTTTTTGTATCTTAGCACTGCTCTTAGCATAGTGCCTGGTACGTAGTAGGCGCTTAATAAATAACTAGTTGACCATCTAGGCTTGCATTCTGAAGGGGCTCTTTGTGCCCAGCATTTTCCTATTTTCATTGGACAGGACTTGAGGATTCAAAACCAGATGTGATTGAGCAGCTGGAGCAGCAGGGAGCACCTGGGATGCAAGAAGGATCTGCCCTGGCAAGCACCTGTCCAGGTGAGTGTGTGGGTAGCAGGCAGGCTCAAGCAGGTACTTGAGTAGTAGCAGCTTAGCCGGCTGCACAGGAGAAACCCTTTAAAACACTGTCCAGGGAGCTGTGTTCAAAGTACCCCCGAGGCCCTTGGAGGAGGGCTGAGACTGTGGCATCACCTCAATTCATCATCCTGACGTCTTTCCTCTTGCATGGCCTTCAAGGAGCATGGGAACCATGCTATCAACAGAAGCCACATCTTTGTTTTCTCTTCTGACTTTGCCTCCATAGCCAGTGGTTGGCACCCGTTATCTCCCTTCTCCTGGCCCATTCATTCATTCCCTTTTAAAGTATATACTTATTAATAACAAAATATCAACACAAGTGCCCTGTTTCTGCATCTCATTCTAATCACTTCTTATTTTAAATAGTTTTTAGGATTATGTCACTGGTAGTTTTATAGCGGTGTGGTTGGTGTGTGTTTTCTGACTTTGTTTTCTTATGTTACTTTTTAGAGAAAGTCCCATATATCCCTACATTCTTAAAACATAACTGTTATAAAGGTACAAAAAATACAAAAAATATGTATAAATGCCAGAATGTAGCTATAACAGAATGCAGTGAGACAAGTTTTATTTTTGGCCTTTTGCTATTGTTATTAATATCATTATCATCATCACCATTATTGTTATCACCAGAATCATTATTTATTAGGCTGTTATTATTGTTTTGAGATTGAGTGGCCCAGTCTTGCCCAGACGCGAAGTGTAGTGGCTACTTATTAACCCACTGCAGCTCAGCCTTGTGCAGGCCAAACGCCCCACCAGCCTCAGCCTCCCTCAGGAGCAGGGATTACAGGCCTGTGAGCAGATTTTGTTTTCTTTCCCAGCTTCCTGCTAGTACAATGCTACTAGTGGATTACTGGATCAGTAGAAGTTAGAAGTCTTAGTGTTCCTTTTGCACACTGCCATGTTGTCTCTGAAGGGGATGGCTCCGCTTCCTGGCCCCTGGCATGGTAGAACAGCCCACTCATTTCTCTTCAGCTTGATAATGCCTAATTTTCTAGGTTTTAACCCTTTGCCAATTTAAAGGGAGCAAAGTGGAGTCTCAAAGTTTTTTTCATTTGGGTCTCTTTGGTGACTGGAGAGTTTGAATAATTTTTCCAGGAGGTAACTGATATTTTGTGTTCCTTTTAAGAACAGCATATTTACAAATTTTGACCATTTATCTTTAGGGAAATAGATCTTGGTCTCATAAATTTGTATCAGTTCCTATAGACTATGAATGCCAACTTTCTAGCAGAAATATGGAAGCAAATATTTCCCCAGTCCATTTCTGTCCATTTTATTTTGGATGCATTGATTTTTGTTGGAGAGAAATGCTTTTTTTTTTTTTTAATAATTAAGTCCATTGATTTTTGTCTCCAGTATTTTTATTTCTTCTACCTGTTAAGCAGGGCAGCTGGGTGGCACAGTGGACAGAGACTGAGCCTGGAGTCAGAAAGACCTGAGTTGAAATTGATCCTCAGACACTTGCTAGCTGTATGACCCCAGGCAAGTCACTTCATCCTGTTTGTCTCAGTTTCCTCATCTGTAAAATGAGCTGAAGAAGGAAATGGCAAACCACTCTAGTGTCTTTGCCAAAAATACTCCAGTAGAGTCACAAAGAGTTGGACTGTGCTAAACAGCAACAATATTTTTTTTATGGGCAACTAGGTGCCACAGTGGATAGAGCATTGGGCCTGAAGTTAGGAAAACTCATTTTTGTGAGTTCTAGTCTGGCCTCAAACACTTAATAGCTGTGTGACTCTGGGCAAGTCACTTCATCCTGTTTGCCTCAATTTCCTCATCTGTAAAATGAGCTGAAGAAGGAAATGGCAAACTATTTCAGTATCTGCCAGGAAAACCCTAAATGGGGTCACAAAGAGTTTACGTGACTGAAAAATGAACAACAGATAGACACAACATAAATAAAAGATGATTTGGGAAGGGCAGGCCCTTGTCGCTATGGGGAATTAGGAAAGGCTTCATGTACAAGGAAATACTAGGGCTTAATTTTAAAAAATTTAATATTTTATTTTTTCCAAATTACGGGTAAAAACAATTTTTAACATTTGTTTTTAAAAATTTTTGAGTTAAGTATTCTCTCTCTGTCCCTCTCTTCCCCCTCATTGAGAAGGCAGACAATTTGATATAGATTGTGCATGTGCAGTCATGCAAAACATTTCCATATTAGTCATGTTACGAAAGAAAACACCAAAAAAGAAAAAAGCCCAAGCAAAATAAAGTTAAAAGAAAAGTATGTTTCAGTTTGCATTCAGAATCCATCAGTTCTTTCTCTGAAGATGGATAGTATTTTTCATTATAAGTCCTTTGGAATTATCTTGGATCATTCTGTTGCTAAGAATAGCTAAATGATTCGGAGTTGATTATTGTACAGTATTGCTGTTATTATGTATAATGTTCTCCTGGTTCTGCTCATTTCACTTTGTATCCGTTTTTGTAAGTCTTTCCAGGTTTTCCTGAGAGCGTCCTGCTCATCATTTCTTATAGTATAGTTGCATTGCATCACATTCAGCCATTCCCCAGTTGATGGGCATCCTCTCAATTTCCAATTCTTTGCCAGCAAAAAAAGAGCTGCTATAAATACTTTTATACATAAATGTCCTTTTCCTTTTTTTCTTAATCTCTTTGAGATACAGACCTAATAATGGTGTTGCTGGATCAAAGGGTATGTACAATTTTATAGCTCTTTGGGCATAGTTTCAAATTATTCTCCAGAATGGTTAGATCAGTTCATAACTCCACCAACAGTGCATTAGTGTCTCAATTTTTCCACATCCCTTCCAACATTTATCACACTCCTTTTCTGTCATATTAGCCAATCCGATAGGTATGAGGTGGTACCTCAGAGTTGCTTTAATTTGCATTTCTCTAAGCAATAGTGATTTAGAGCATTTTTTCACATGACTATAGATAGTTTTGATTACTTCATCCAAGAACTACCTGTTCATGTCCTGTGACCATTTATCAATTGGGGAATGGCTCTTACTTTTATAAATTTTACTCAGTTTTCTATATATTTGAGAAATGAGGCCTTTATCAGAGAAACTTGCTATAAATTTTTTTCAGTTATGATTACTGTATATTTCCCTCCATCCTATTTCCGCCCTGTTTATCCTTCTCACTCTCTCTCTCTCCTTTCACCCTTTCTCACCTCAAAAGTGTTTTGCTTCTAGAACCAGTAGAACATTGTACACAGTAACAGCCACATTGTGCAATGACTAACTTTGATAGACTTTGCTCTTCTCAGCAATGCAAGGATCTAAAACATCTCCAAAGGCCTCATGATGGAAAATGCTGTCCACAGTCAATGAAAGAACTATGGAGTCTGAATGCAGATGAGAGCATACTATTTGTTCTTTTTTTTTCTTCTGTTTTGTTTTGTTTCCTCTTTCTTGTGGTTCTTCTTATTTGTCCTGATTCTTCTTTACAACATGAATAATGTGGAAATATGATTAATAGGCATGTATATGTAGAGCCTATTGCAGATTGCACGCCATCCTGGGGAGGAGGCAGGAAGAAAATTTAAAACTCAAAAACCTATGGAAATGAATGTTGAAAACTAAAAATAAATTAATTAAAAAAAAAAGAACTCTACAGAAACTAAAAAAAAAGTATTTTGCCTCTGACTGCTGCCTCCTCTAATCCACCCTCCCTTCTGTCAGCCACCCCTTCCCATCCCCTTCCCTCCTATTTTCCTGTAGGGTAAGATAGATTTCTATACCCAACTGAGTGTGTGATATTCCCCCTTTGAGCCAGTTCTGATGAGAATAAGATTCAAGTGCTCCCTTCCTCTATCTTCCCCTCCACTGTAAAAGCTTTTTCATGTCTCTTTTATGTGAGATAATTTACATCATTCTGCCTCTCCCTTTCCCCTTCTTCCAGTGCATTCCTCTTTCTCATCCCTTAATTTTATCTTTTTTTAGATTTTATCCTATTATATTAGATATTTTAGATATTAATTTAGATATTATTAATAATATTAGACATTTTAGATATTAATTAGATATTAGATATTATTTAGATGTCTTTTTAGATATTATTTAGATATTAGATATATTTAGCTATTTAGATATTATTAGATATTATCCTAAATAAAGATATTATCTTTATTTAGATATTACCCTTTTTTTAGATATTATCATATTCAACTCACGCTGGTGCCCTCTGTCTTCGTAAAGTCCTTCTAACTGCCCTAAAAATGAGGAAATTCTTAAGAGTTACAAGTATCATCTTCCCATGTAGGAATGTAAACTGTTTAACCTTATTGAATCCCTTTTGATTTCTCCTTCCTATTTACCTTTTTGTGCTTCTCTTGAGTCTTATAATTGACGGTCATATTTTCTATTCAGCTCTGCTCTTTTCATTAGGAATGCTTGAAAGTCCTATTTCATTGAATGTCCCCATTTCATTGAATTTTTCCTATTGAGGAAAAAGAAAAAACAAAAATATGTAACTAACACGTGTAGTCAGACAAAACAAATCCCTGGACTGGCTGTGTCCTAAAAGTGTATGTCTTGGTCTGCACCCCGAGTCCACCACTCTTCTGTCAGGAGGTGGGTGCTTTGGAATCATGCTTGCTAGTTGTGTTGATAAGACTTCTTAAATTCACTTTGATTTTGACGAGGTGTATAGAGAGAATGAGAATCCAGTGGGGGAATGGAGAAGTGTGTCATGGTACCATAGGAATAGTAACAAGAGAGCTAACGAGAGCCCTTGGAATGGGCCACGGTTGGTGAGGAGAGAGAAGGACAACAGAAGGAGAAGCTGAAGTCATGTGGAGGAAAAGAGAAGGAGGAAAGGAGAGATGGAAATGCTGCTTGGAGGTGGATGGAACAATGGAGAGAAATGAGAGCTTCTCATTTCTTACTCTGCTTCTGTGTTTCTTAAGGAAAGTGACGTCTGCGCTGGAGAGGACAGAATCAGTTGGAGTAACAGGGAGTTGACAGTCAAGCTAAGTGAGG